GTGAAAAAGAGTGAAACAATGTGGACTGCAACAACTTTGTCGAAAGCCTTCTGTGATATCCTTTCTATCTCTGTTTGACCAGAAAGTAGGTTTTCCACCTCAAGTCGTAAAAGTAAAATACCTAACGTAGTCGAGAAACTGAAAGCGAAGACGACCTGGTTCCTTTTTTAAAATTGAGCTTGTCAGGGGAAGCTACTGGATCGCACTATTTATTTGCACTGTTATTTCCCTTTGACCAGAAGTCGAACCTTTTGAGAACGTTGCACAAATAGACACAGAAAAAAAGTTTGTTATCTCGTTTTACTTTTCTCTTTCAAGTGAAATTCTGTTATAAAGCTTATATTCAATTAAATAATGTGTATAAGCCCACCTGCATGTGTTATTACAATTCCTGTAAAGCTAAAGTAAATGTTCCAATGCTAATGGGACAAAAATGTATCATCTTATCTTAGATCTAGATCTAGATCTATCTCATTACATCTGATCTTGTCTATCTTATATAAGATAATATTTAATGTTTCAGGGCTGTAATTTGCCCAATGCTGATTTGTGCAGTTTCTCAAGTCCATAAAGGAAAAAGTCGTAAAAGTTTTGTTATTTTTAGCCATGATGAGTTGAAATCATAGATTTGTACACCTATATTGTGTGATATCATGGCCGCTGCACTTATGGTCTCTATGAAAAAGTTACTTATGAAGCATATGCCCCATGGGTAAAATTATTATACCCGAATAAAGAGACAAACACTAGTCCTGTTATACTTGCGTTTGCCCGGCACATTACCTCCTTTGCCTGTCATTTGGCTCAAATGATGACTTAAGCACAGAACCGGAAATATGTGAGAGTTCAGTTCTAGGATTTTTGGTTATATTTCTATGGTTTGAATCGATAGTTTCGTTTTGAAGTCTCGTGATGTCTCGTGCAGTGAAGCAGCAATGCCTAGACCCCCCTATAGGCGCTGTGGAGTCTCAGATCCTATAAAAGCAAGTCCGACGTGAACATCGGTGCGGGTTCTTGAAACCCGCCGACACTTATTGCAATAGGGTCAATTACGTTCTAACAGACCCAAAATGAGTAACGCGAGTCAAGTGGTAAGTGTTGAAACAAATTTGGTGAAAAATGTCGTATTGTGAGCAAAAAATTGATTCCATAGACTGATTTCTGTCATTTTCTCCGGTCGATAGCGCACACAATGCTGTCATGTTGTTGGCACGCTCTCCGCTGCATTCATTGGCTTGCTGCACGGTCATAGGACTGGTATAGAGAGCCGAGCCACGGAGAGGCCCAAATACTGTGTATGTTTGCACAATTTGTTAGGCTTATTGTGCCTCATTTTGCTGCTAACAAGAGCTATTTCTTGATACAATACACTCACCTGTATCCCCTGCTCACTTAATTCTGTGAAAACTCTTCCTTTCTTTCATAATAAAATAATTTAATAAAAAATATGGCATGGGTTTACTCATTATTCTTTGTTATTTTTATTTTTGTATTATTAATTATTCTAGATCTAGATTTAGATTAGATTCTAGACTATACAACTAGATCTAGATTTTAGATCTAGAGGCTACCAGTTTTCAAAACGGAGTCTAAGAGTCTAGATCTTTGTATTCAATGTTCAGGTATTGTCTCCGTCTGAGGAGGCATGGCTGAAAATCTACTGCCAAGCACAACTGAAGTGCGCTGCGAAACAGACGAGCAGCTTGGTCGGATGTGGTGATCCCATAGGTCCACACGACTCCGTCCGACTGTGTAAAAAAAATGGCACTGAACAGGCATATAAATCTATAGGCCCACGGCTGTTGGGCCGGCCCCCCCTTTTGTTTAGCCTTTGTTTTATCTTCATGGCGTCGCGGAACACTCCGATAGCAGGGCGAGCCTGTCCACTCGCGGAGAAGTGCTGCACTCACATATATGTCTTTTTGGGTCCTCACGACTCCTCTCGTCTAGTCGTGTTCAATGAAATCACCGATATGAAATAAAGTCAATAAAGAGGAAGGCACGACTTTTATCGCGGTGCACTTCAGTTGTGCGTGGCAGTATATTTTTTCAGCCCAAAAGTATCTAGATTCTACTCTAGATCTATCTTATTAAATTTACGAATAGGCTAGCATTTTACTTTTAGACTTAGAATCATAGAACTAGGCGTAAGCCAGCCTATGGGCGACCTCCTAGAGTAACCTTTTAATTTTAATTCTAGATCCAGACAGATATCTATGAGGTAAAATTTAATTTCACGCTCGCACAAAAGCATTAGAGTTAGGGAGTGTCTACGTACACGGTAACCGGATAGGCCACTTAGTTTTGGAGGCCCCTTGAGCTAGGTGCACGGTAACTGCTTGCCCCCTTCATGACCTTGACTTCTTTCTTTCTTTTTTTCCCCCACTTTTTGTGTGTTATAGAGGGGAAAGTAAACAGTACGGACAATGAGACCAGTCCATGGCCTGTTTCCCATACATTTTTTTAATGTCTGGATCCCAAAAATAACAAGATAGCACAGCCATATCAAATGTGTTTCAAATCTATAGATTAAAAACAATTCTAATCAGAAACTTCTCAACGCAAACCCCATCCATTTAATCATTTATACATTAGGTCTTGGGTGCTTAACAATGCTGGAAGAAAAACGATGTAAATGAAAAAATACCATCTCTATAATCTATATAAAATGGAAAGTCCTCATATATTTAGATCTGTTCGTACAAATACTTGTTAAGATAAAATGAACAGAAAGCTGGAAATATAGTAGGCCTAGAACATGGCTGTAGCGGGACTTTTGGTTCCAGAAGAAAAATCGCGCCGTCTGTAAGTTTGTGCTAGATGTACAGCTCCCTCAATCTTGCCCGTTGTTTCAAAGTTGGGGACTTTCCTTGCCCTGCTAAACCCATTCCTAAGTAATTAAGTTTACATAGAAAAAATGGGGTTCGGGTACAATCCCGCTGTAGGGGTTAAATGAAATAGTCATGCATCTAGATATCTACACAAGGTGTCTATGACTATGAACTTGGATAGACATATAAACGGGCAGCTGAAATGGCCATTGTCAAACAAGGTCCAAGGTGGCCTCACACAATGCAGACATCGGAGAATGTCGGAGTTGGCACAGTGCACGCACTACACGGCGAGTCGCACAACACGGTACTTCTGGGGAGAACGAGGGTGGACCTTCCGGTTACCGTGTGTGTAGACGTTCTGTTAGAGTTATGGCCTGTTGGGCAGAAAAATTTGACTGTGATGCGAGCGCCGGCAAAACCTCTACTAAACAAACAAAAAAGTTTGACTACTGAAAAGGAAAATGGCCACGAAAATTGTCGTCAGTCAATTAGATCTAGATCTAGGCTACATAAACATTTCATTTTTTATATAGATTCTATATAATTTATTTTTTTTGGTAAGTGTTTTACGACGCTCGCAATTTGAACTGCATTGGGTCATATGAATATGAGCGAGCAACACACAGGAAACATTTTCATTTGGTAGGAAATTTTGACTTTTGCCTTGGTGGCAGCCGAAGCCTACTCTTATGGATTTTGGACCACCCAGGGATCTTTAACATACGCATCTTGCACACAGGGTTTCCGAGATTTTTCGCCCTTGTCCAGAAGGCCAGGTGTAGATCTTTCCTACCAGAAGATCAGGTTACTGTCCCCTCCCTCTGTTTTCCCCAGCTGATCTGCCAGTAATGGTGCGCTCCAGTAGTTTGTGGTACCGCACTGAACTGGATTACGGAGCAGGTGGCCTTGGTTTGAATCTCCTACTTGACTGGGCGTTCTTGAGCTCAGATCATTTTATGGAGTTGTCCAGATTCCCAACCCATTTGGTTAGGTCCTTTTGGAGTGACGTTAAATTCAGTGCGGTCCCATCTCTTAAATAACCTTAAGAATTTTGATACAGGCGTTTAATCTATACACTTACTTGCCATGGGTAATGATGTTTGCTCGTCTTTTTCTTCCAGTCGAAGCTGTACCGCACGGTGGTGGAGGATGTGATCAACAACGTGAAGGAAGCCTTCCTCGATGAGGGTGTGGACGAGCAGGTCCTACAGGAGCTCAGACAGGTCAGTCGCTACATCTGCTCACAAGAGGGGAACGTCTCGCACAGATCCTGCTCAACCTATTTGTTTTTGTTGATTTTTTTGGTCCCGTCCACGCCCTCGTCAAGGAAGGCTTTTCTTGAAGGGTGTCGAATGTTGTCATTGCGTTTTTAAAAATTGCATCACTATGTCAGTTCTACCAAATGTTATTAAAAGTTTTCTTTCTCTTCTATGAGTCAGAACAAAAGATAGAACAAAGTTTGCTGCTGTTAGTAAATGCTGTTTGTGGTGATATTAGTAGTGAGAATGTGAAGGTGTAGGAGATGTGAAGATTGTTTTGGAATTCTGTTGTTGCTGCTGCTGCCACTCCTGCGAGCTAACTGATGTTATGAACAAAGCCGTCTCTCTTTTTGTCTCATTGTCGTGTGCTTGGGTTGTTGTTGGTCCGTGGAGCTGATGAAGGAAGACCATCTGATCATCGCGGGGTCGGGGGTGAGTAGATGAGTGGGTTAGTGCAGAGACAAACTGGTCAGGTGGACCTGTGCTCACAAACTTCTCTCACAAGGTGGGCAGGGGATGGCGGCATCTCTTCAGAAGTTGTTGGGTTTTTTAAGTAACCCTGGGTCTATCTCTGCCCACATTTGCCTTCTACTTTTCCAGTGAGAGCAAGATATTCAAAGCCTTTACGTTAAAACTTTGCGGTCACTTGGCGCAGTAATGCGACGGTGAAAATGATCCATTCTGGTCACCTGGCGCAGCGCAAGAAGTCCGTTTGAGTCACTCTCCCGATTGGGTGACCAGATGGGGTATTGTGTACTGTTGGCTGTGTGACTGTAAAGTGTTTAATGTCCCAAAAACTACATTTGTGGCTGCCATATTTTTCTTATCAGTGAGCACACCTACTTTGTCAAACAAATTTTTAACTCTCCTCTGTCAGCTGTATGACAAACAAACTGTCTCACACACAAACGTTTAACACTCCCCTGTCTCCCCAGCTGTATGACAAACAAGCTGCCTCACACACAAACGTTTAACACTCCCCTGTCTCCCCCAGCTGTATGACAAACAAGCTGCCTCACACACAAATGTTTAACACTCCCCTGTCTCCCCCAGCTGTATGACAAACAAGCTGCCTCACACACAAATGTTTAACACTCCCCTGTCTCCCCCAGCTGTATGACAAACAAGCTGCC